TTGTACTTTTTTCGGCTTAGTGTCAAGTGGTTTGATCAAAGTACTGGATGGCTAACACTCAGATCAGCGTTAAGTTCATCACCAACACAAGAGGCGGACAGAACCTTTCGCATAATGGATTCATCTACAGACGGATTCGAAGGAACAGCAGCAGAACATTCTGGAGACAGAAGAAGAACGTACTGCATGCCCACCTCAACACCTACACCATCATCCAGACGCTTAAGGACATACAGAACATGAATGACATCAGTCGGATTCTGAGAGATGCAGGAGGCTCCGGAAGAAGAAATACGCCAACATTGACAAACGCCTTACCACCTTGAAGGACCATTATCAGACTGGGACGATCGACCTGATGCCCTATGCTGATTCAGCATCCGAGCTTCTCCATCTTGGATAGATTGTTTTGTGTTTTCTAGTAGAGACATATCTAGTACTTGACTATTAAAGGTTGCAAAAGGACATACTATCTCGATAAAGTGGATAATATATTGTCATAGATAAACGAATCAGTGCTAATTCAGCTTCATTTTGGGGTTTACTGTTTATGTTAAATAATACTTTATTTTAGTGCTAAAACGTGCATATTGATTCACTATGTATATATGTATATATATAAATATAAATTCAATTTAATTGCTGACACCAGTATATCAATGTAACTTAATGAATTTTATTCATTAATTAAACATAATCTTACATGATAATCATTAAATAATGAATAATAATATTAAATATTAATATCTAATAACTATTTTATAAAACGTTTGTAAGATAAAAATTGTGTTACAATTAATTAAGACAAATAGAAACTTTTTATCTATTTCATTATTGATATGTACGTATCCTATTTACAAAATAAGTTGACATTCTTAGTTGAAACAGACTATCACTTTAGCTTCAAAGGATTCCCTATATAAATCTCATTTACGTAACAAAATTACTACTAAAAACTTAAAATGACGAATCAAATCAATTGCATTGATCAAACGGAATGTTATTGAGATTTTTAGTGTCACAGATTTACAGATTACTTTCTTCGATATAGGGTGATATTTCAGTTGTGAATTGCTCGAACACGCTAAAGTAAACAGAACGTAATTGTCATAAAAGTTAGCGAGATCAATTTGAAAATTGAGATTTCTACTACACTGTTTGTTTGAAAAGAGTAACTAGAAACATTTGTAGAAAACTGGTATATAAACACAGCAACGCTAATTAACACTCTTTGATACAATACTTCAATGCAATATATTTCTTAATACAATCATCGTACAGAATCAATTTATATGTTATTGTACAAAATTATCTACTTACGTTATTATGGAAATCGTACACCTCAATTTATCGGTAAACACATATACGATTTAATTTGCTGAACTTCTTTATTGAACTAGTTGGATTGGTTTTAAAAACGATCGCGTGGCTTTAATGGCGTCATAACAGGTTTGCGTTGTTACTAGACGAACAGGGTGAAATAATCTTTTAGATTATAAAAACAACAGAAATAAGCCTAATGAAATAATAGAATTGCAACACGAGAAGTGAACAGGACCATGGGAGAGATATTTTGATGCTAACACGGTTTTAAAAATCATTCCACTGAGTTCTGAAAAGATACAAAACAGCTAGAATATTTGCAACTTGGATAGAGATTCTTGATGATGTATGAAGCTGCACGTGTTTTGTGTCACTCTGTTTTGTGTTTATATGCACTTTCCTTGATGTCACATTGCATGGACATGATGCGGCATCAACATCGAGTTTCGGAAAGCACAACCTCTAAAGGACACAGATATAATACAAAACATAAAATACTTGATTGATTTGAAAAGAACGCTTAAAAGCAAGCGATGAGGCGTGGATACAGCAATATTTACCTGATTAATAAGGTATTTTGTTCTTTTTTCTTTAAAATAATTCAAACTATATTTTGTTCTATATGTAACTGATATAATTGATTACATTAAGGGTACAAGGTGCAATGTGCGTTCAAAAATATGGTGAGTTACTTAACGGTTTCATGATATTTTCATCTGGCGTTGCCTTTTTTGGTGCATCTATTCAAACCAATTTTTATCATTACAGAAGGCATTAGTCTTAAAACTACACGGAATCATCCAAATGTATGGCAATAACATGATCCATTCCCGAGTATGTGACAAGTGCGACGAGGCCTCAACGAGATATCTAAATATTTATATCCATCACATCAACGATACAAATGTTAATGTTAGCCCTGTTGAGAAATCAGTAATCATCTTACATACCTATAATGAACTTACCTCATGTAGGTATAAAGAAATGGTAGATTGATTCCACACCTGATATAGATCTGTGCATTCCAACCGAAATATAAATGTAGGTAGACGAGTTTATTCATACCCCTATCATTCTCCCGTTACACGTACATGTTAACGTAGGTCAGTGAAGAATTTCCATCTTATGATCTTATGATGTGCGCTCACCCAAGCGACGCTTGACGGGATGGATATCTACCAACTGTGAATATAGACAGGACAGGTAAATTTAATGAACTTCAGACGACCTTGACCAATGAGTGTTTTGTGTATCACGCGACTGCGATGTGCGCAGTTAATGGACCCGATATATGACAATTTGTGTATCACTGACTTTCCACCCATTGTACTATACCTATCTTATACTTACTTCGCGAAATATGAACTGTTAATTGTGTGTTTGATATAACTTATTCATTTCTATTTCTCAGTTTATTATTTTTGTTTATAGTGCGCTCTTTCAATATATTTCTAGTTTGAATTTTGTTTTCGCTTCATGAGTTATTGATAAAATTGATTTTTATTTTTTATGTTACTTTGATTTACTTGAATGTTTTCATATTGAGCTTCCATTTGATTTAATTTCTGTACATATTGATTTTTTTTGTTTAGTTATTCTTTTTGTTAGATTGTGTACTTATTTTTGTCCTTTCTCTAAATTAATTTTTACTTTGCTTCAGAGGTATTACTTGCACCTATTTTTTCGATATTTTTTGTTTTGCATTTGAATTGACTTCGCTGTTTCGGGGATTTTTTTTGAAAATGTTGTTTTTTATCATTTGACTTAATGTGTTATAAAGTCTTTAACTTGCTTTCAGCATACATTGAAAGTTTTTTCCCCATTTTTTCTTCTATTTCGAAAATTAACATGTATGATTGCTTATTATTCTTTTCAGTGGAATTCGTTATTTGTTGATATACACTTGGTCGCTGTTGACATTTTCTTTGTTTCACGTGCGGTGTGGAACATTCTGTATTTATGTTTAATGGATGATGTTGCGTCAGATGCTATTTATCCCTAATCGGACTGACATTTTCGTTTGCTTATTCGTGTGTATGTTGGCTGAACGCGACCAAATATTATTCTTCGTAGAATTTATATAGTTTTATTTCAAGTTAGTCATTTAAATTATTGACGGTAGATGTGGCAGAGCTGGCTAATTCTATTTAATTTATAAGTGTGAATATATCTCACTGAGTTTTTAAATAATGACATCTGTTACATGACTGTCATGTGACTTAGACAATACTGATATCGCGTTATATTAATAAAATCTTAGGGAACAAATATTAACAAGGAAATTCAAATGATGTACAAAATACCATGTTACATATGTTGTAATGTCCATACCGATAATTGAGTCACGACTTGAGCTATGTTTTTGGGTATATTATAATAATAAAAACAAAGAAAGAGATACATATCCAGTATGTGCAGTGAGTAATGTCATTTTATTAAAGGACATTGTAACAATAATGACAACCATGTTGGAAAACATTTCAAACATAAACAATTTCATAATTGTAATATAGCCCAAAAGATGGAGCATAAAATACGCCACAGGACTGTGATGCTGTCAATCATAGCAGTCCAGAGCCATTTTTCACCTTGTAAGATTTTTTTTGGTTTTCTCACTAGAGCTAAATCCGCCTAGCTTATTGGCTAGCTGGTTTTGGCCGACATTTTTTGGGTGTACTCAATCAAGATTCAACCACTCGACTCTGTTACTTTCCGCTCTACTTTCATCGCATATGGTAACACATAATTCCAATGGTACAATAACAAACAATACACAAATAGTTTTGATGTACAACATAAATATATTTATTATCATAAATTGTATTAAAAATATAACAAAATCGTGTTTTGAAAACATAATAAGTTTAAGTGAGTGACGTCAAGACACTGAAATACGACGACATAAGTAAATAGAGCTACTGTGTTTGCATAGTATACATCATTGAGGTAAAATATATGTCCTAATTACTTGAAATATCTCTGGTTATCTGCGAGTTACCTGCCTTAACCTAAAATGTAAGAAAGGTCGGAAGTCTACTTTCAATGAAACTGTCGAATGGAAATTGGATACAGAGGAGACACTATGATTCCAGGTTCGAATTAAGTAGGTAACATGGCACGACTTTTTTCTCCAAAGGGACGTGATGGATTTCTTTCTGCATTCAAAGAGTTTATTGCAGTTCAAAGTTAGATAAGTAATAAAACACCAAAAATGCAGATACCTAGCACCACTTCAACTAGGCTGATTTCTGTTATGACTTTGATTATTGATGATGAAAAACGTCTCGTGAGACATAAATAATAGTTCTACATAATAAATAATACAATTCGTAAATAGTCGTATTGCATCACGAGTGTGCGATTGCCAATTAACATTTCTTGGCTTTAACATTTGAAGAAGGGTGCCTGATAACAACCATGGAATAACACTTTACAAAAGCCAATGTGTTTTACGTCGCATCGACAAGTGGATTCATTTAAAGCCAAATAGAACCAGAAAATGGCGTGAACAAAATGACAAAAACATTATCAGAATCAGTTTAAAATTGATTTAAACCTGAATTGAATCTTTCATCAATCTTTAATAATTCATTTTATTAATCCGATTTATTTTCTATCTCGACGTAATACGAATTTAAATGATATGCAGTTCACGTCGAAAACAGATACGTTTTACTTCAAAGATCTTTGGGAATTTTACATGCTGATCTTGGGAGATCTTTCAACCAAAAGTTGATGTTTGAATATATTCGTTTATAGTTTTCAGAATGGTGAATATGTTTGCATAAAGAACACCATTTTTGTTCTTGATAATGAATGATATAATTTTTAGTCCACGAAAAAAAATCAGTTGCATTATCGAAAGATCTCTTCATCGCTTCCCCTAACGCATGGCCTTTAACAAAGTCCTTGGCATCTAGATAAGATCCGGGTGGGAGAAACAGGGAGTAATTTGACCCACCTCTTACAACTGAGACCGTAGAGAAAGAGAATGTATAGGTTTTAAATGCTTTTTCTGTAATGTAGTCAACACACAGAGAGTTTTCAAAGGCCAAGTAATATCTGTAATGTTTTTGAAGAAGTTTCATACAATTGTTTTCGTTTGATCTGGTGCATCTGTGTTGACCACAGCCACCGTAAACATGAATATCAGTGGAGTTTTTAAGACTCTTTATGTATTGCATTCGTTTGCTTGGAGTGTGACAGTTAGACACTAACCAGGCAGTATTTCTGTCTTTGGCTTTCCACTGTTTACGTATATTCATTGTAGTGTTATTTCGATGAAACTGAAATCCAGAATAAACCGACAGAACATCAGAATCCCTTCTATATGTGAACGTCCAATTGAATAAATTATTCCACTCTGACAAGTCATTATAATAGTGATGTGGGGATTCCATACCATGCATTATCCAAACTTGGCCACGTAACTTATTTGGTGGTTTGGTTTTCTTTCCAATTCTGGGTCCATGAAAAAGGACGAAATTTGCCGAGTCTAGCTTTGATCCTGATATCATTTTGCATGGGTATTCACAATTATTGAATACAATTTCAGGTACCCATTCAGGTCTATTGTAGTAAAGAACATTAATCTCTTTAGGAGGTTCCTGAAAGGCAGGTTGTTCTGACTTGTCAAAGTAAGCAGGCAAAACATCGGATTTCAACACGATTACATTAAAAAATAGCATCCCGATGCCCATCGCCACTACCAGGATTCCTCCGCAGATATATCTGGGTGGTCCACTGAAAACAAGATTAAATAAAATGAGAAACATTTCAGTAAAAAAGACGTTAATATGATGAATTAGTATCGATCGGAGACTAAGAATTAGTTTAATTTACAATAATTGCGAAACAAGTTGTATCAACTTACATTAATCGCTCTTGTATGTCCGAATGGAAGCACGCGAGGGGTATTACTGTTTGGGAAACCGGAGTACCATGGGGAAAACCGACATGATCGGTGAACTTATACCTTTTCACATCCGGTCAGGGAATCGAATCCGGACGCCTTGGTGTGTGCGTATCAGCCAACCACCCTGTCAGGCTGAGTGAAGTGTTTTTTGAAAGCATGGTACGAGTGTCCAAGAACATCTATCACTCGTCCCTCTACTGATTTTATATGCATTTAATGAAGAAAAACGAAAATTGTGTAGGTGTTATAATAACTTAACATTTTGTTTCAACTGTATCTAACCTTAATTTGTATTAAAATGTGTTATTAACTCGTAAGTCTTGCATATAGGAGCGAAAGTAACATTGGAAGATAAATAGAGTACATTTACTGCTGGTAGCATTTTAAGAAAAAAAATCACCGGATATGACATGATACACGTGTCTTACTCTTAAACAGAGCATTAGATGGGTTTCAAAAGGCCACCAGTACGACGGATGAGTGCTTTTGAATGTTTGAAAATCTCAATACGAGGAATAATGGAGCCCGAGCTCATTAGCCCGTGGTGATGAATCTGATATTGTCCTCCATGAGTACTGGTTTCGGCCCTGCCTACGAAGAACGGCTAGGTTTTCGTGCCTTCGTTTTTTGTGTCTATCGTCCTTGTCCCAGTCATGATTAGCCATGATTATAAGAGAATGCTAAGCTTATTCATGTATTTAGAATGGTAACTATCTTTTTCTTTCGGTGTGACAGATTTCATCTCCTGGCATGTTTTTCTTTACCAAGACACTGTACTTGTGATTGTTTCCAAGTCGAATATTAACCATTATTGTAGACATAGCGTTCGTGCTGTAAACACCGACTAGGCTAGTATTTTATCTTTAATACAAGTGAGATAAACCATTGAATACAGCGGCAAATCAGTCCTTTAGGTATTTCAAATTATTTAAAGTCATGTCAGCAACCCATAATCTGTCTGTTACATGAACTCTCGTCCAACAAAACAGTGCCTATAACATTCAGCATTCTCCTTTTGTCATTTATAGATATATAGATCAATATTGCTTTCATTTCGCAGTTATAACGTTTGAAAACTTGTAGAAACGAAATGTAGCATAGAATCACTTTAACATATCCCCGGTATACTTTTTGCCACATCTTTATATTACCACTTCATGACGCACTGTTTTTTGTTCATCACTTTGTATGCATTGATAATTGCTTGTTGATTGCTTAATATTATATATATATATATATATATATATATTTATGTATGTATGTATATATGTATTATATGATATAATATGTATATAAATATTAATTAATACTAATTATATTATTTAATTTATAGACTTGATTTTATAACTCTTTGTGAAATGAAAAGGAAAGAATATATCAAAGACATGCATTCTTGATTTCGTTTTATCTGGGTTCGGAATGCTTTCAGATACTTTTGTGAATCTTAAAGCGGTAGGCGAGCCGTCCATATCATACAATAATAGATATAATAGAGCAATTCGATTAGATTTTCAGGGAAAAGAGGTGTACGGATGTGATTACGTACAAGTCAAAGATAATTACTTTGTTGTCTGTTTACATTGTTTTTCAATCGTTTCAAAGAGTTTGCATGCAAGATTAAGAAATAAATAAAGATCTTTTCCAATTTCATCTAATTCATTATCGTCACTGTCTATGTGGACATCCTATTGAGGGTGTACATAATTTCTTTTTATGTAGAAATTTCTGACTCAAATACATGTAAATTTTAATGTCATATCTCTCTCCCTTTGATAAGTGTGTTGTAAATCTGATATTCACCTAAATAAAACATCCCTTCTCTCTCTCTCTCCCTCTCCCTCCCTCTCCCTCTCCCTCTCTCTCTCTCTCTCCCTCCCTCCCTCCCTCTTCCCCCCCCCCTCTCTCTCTCTCTCTCTCTCAAATAAAACATCTCAGTCTCTCAAATAAAACATCTCTCCTACTCTCTGTCTGTCTGTCTGTCTGTCTCTCTCTAATTCTCTCTCTCTCTCTGTCAAAGATATAAATGTATAAATGCAACAATATCATCTTGAATTGCATCAGATAAAATGAAGGTAATTGCCGTAACGACAGTACTTATAGAACTGTTTAAACACAACATCTTCTTATTCGAAATTTATTTTATGTCCCATTTGATTAAAGTTACTGTCAAGGCCGACTGGCTTTCATATTTCGGAGGCTAACCTTCCATTTGTTATTTACCCGACCGACAATTTACGTACTTAGTCTTACTTAGTCGTAGCCGAACTCATGCCTTTAAACCTCTATATTCAGATCCAAATCATTAATGGCGTCATAACAGGTTTGCGTTGTTACTAGACGTACAGGGTGAAATAATTATTTAGATTATAAAAACAACATAAATAAGCCTATTGGTTTTAAAAGTTATTCGAATGAGTTCTGAAAAGATACAAAACAGCTAGAATCTTTGCAACTTGGACAGTGTTTCTTGGTGATGTATGAAGCTGCACGTGTTTTGTATCACCCTAGTTTGTGTTTATATGAACTTTGCTTGATGTCACAATACATGGACATGATGCAGCATCAATGTCGAGTTTCGGAAAGTACAACCTCTAAATGACATAGATGTAATACAAAAAAAAATGCTTGATTGATTTCAAAAGAACGATTAAAAGCAAGCGATGAGGCGTGGATACAGCAATATTTACCTGATTAATAAGGTATTTTGTTAATTCTTCTTTGAAATAATTCAAACTATATTTTGTTCTATATGTAACTGATATAATTGATTACATTAAGGGTACAAGGTGCAATGTGCATTCAAAAATATGGTGAGTTCCTTAACGGTTTCATGATTTTTTCATCTGGCATTGCCTTTTTTGGTGCATCTATTCAAACCAATTTTTATCGTTACAGAAGGCATTAGTCTTAAAACTACACGGAATCATCCAAATGTATGGCAATAACATGATCCATTCCCGAGTATGTGACGAGGCCTCAACGAGATATCTAAGACATCAACGATACAAATGTTAATGTTAAACCTGTTGAGAAATCAGTAATCATCTTACATATCTATAATGAACTTACCTCATGTTGGCATGAAGAAATGGTAGATTGATTCCACACCTGATATAGATCTGTGGATTCCAACCGAAATATAACTGTAAACAGGTAGACGAGCTTATTCATACCCCTATCATTCTCTCGGTACACGTACATTTAAACGTAGGTTTGTGAAACATTTCCATCTTATGATCTGATAATGTGCGCTCGCTCAAGCGACGCTTGACGGGATGCATTCCAACCGAAATATAAATGTAGGTAGACGAGCTTATCCATACCCCTATCATTCTCCCGCTACATGTACATGTTAACGTAGGTCAGTGAAGAATTTCCACCTTATGATCTTATGATGTGCGCTCACCCAAGCGACGCTTGACGGGATGGATATCTACCAACTGTGAATATAGACAGGACAGGTAAATTTAATGAACTTCAGACGACCTTGACCAATGAGTGTTTTGTGTATAACGCGACTGCGATGTGCGCAGTTAATGGACCCGGAGAAGAACAGGACCTGTGTTGACAGTATACGATATATGACAATTTGTGTATCACTGACTTTCCACCCATTGTACTATACCTATCTTATACTTACTTCGCGAAATATGAACTGTTAATTGTGTGTTTGATATAACTTATTCATTTCTATTTCTCAGTTTATTATCTTTGTTTATAGTGCGTTCACTTTAAAAAGTTTGCATTTTTTTTGCTTCATGAGTTATTGATAAAATTGATTTTTATTTTTTATGTTACTTTGATTTACTTGAATGTTTTCATATTGAGCTTCCATTTGATTTAATTCAGTACACATTCGTTTTTTTTTTTTTTTGTATAGCTTTTCTTTTTCTTATATTGTGTACTTACTTTTTTCCTTTCTTCAGATTAATTTTTTACTTTGCTTCAGAGGTATCACTTGAACCTATTTTTTCGATATTTTCTGTTTTTGCATTTGAATTGATTTCGCTGTTTTGGGGATTCATTTCTGTTGAAAATATCTGGTTTTTTACTTAACCTGTTATAAAGTCTTTAAATTGGTTTCAGCATACATTGATAATTTTGCTTTGTTTTCATTTTTTCTTCTTAACATGTAGGATTGCTTTTGGCTGAACGCGACCGTAGAATTTATATAGTTCTATTTCAAGTTAGTCATTTAAATTATTGACGGTAGATGTGGCAGAGCTGGCTAATTCTATTTAATTTAGAAGTGGGAATATATATATAAGTACAAGAGTGAAATACTTGTTCTGTGTTTGGTAAGAACACACAGATGAACTTTGCGTTTCTTTGTTTGAATGTTTAATTTTGATTTGATTCCTTTGATTCTGAAGGAAAACAGCAGGCGAAAGCGACACTTCCACAAGAGGAAGGGGACTCTGTAGAGGATGTGTCGTTGTCACCAATGACACTATCGATATGACAAGTTCACAAATAGACAAGGACGTTTATTAGCACCTTTCTGGTTTAGTTGGAAGTTTAGACAAGATTGCATTTAAACAAAAGCTAAAATCAATTTACAGCAATACCGCAGAGAAGTTGATACACAAGCGATCGTTGTTTTATGATATCGCATTGAAGACAAAACGTGAAACACCGCAAGGTTCTCTTGTAAAACAAACAAATTCTGGAAATTCGTCAACAAGTAAAAACATTTTGGAAGATATTTATTGTTTCATTACATTGGTGGAGATATTGAGGTTAGAGAAATAAAGCTGTACTCAGTTGTAAGGATAGTATACAGTCAATATGTGAAGCGTTACGCATACGTTACAACGAGTGGGACAGGTGAGAATAGTAATAACTCTGACGCGTCATTTAACAAGGACAATATACAGAACCGGTTAGTGCTGTTAGTAGGAATGCGTAACGATCTTTTGGATACATACATAGGGCGTCATATCCTGATCATTTTAAAGGGCCTGTTTCCAGTAATGTTAATTCTCCATAGGAGCCTGCCCCCGTATAATTTCTTACCTAGCTCAACTACTGTTTTCTTTTCCGAAAAATAATTTTACACCCTTCCAACACCCAGATTTCATAATTTCAGTGAAAATGTATTTTTATAAAGTTGTCAATTTTAGCATCAAAGACATAAGTTCGTAAATAAAAGAAGGTTATCTCGAAATTGTAATTCGCAACATAGTATAAATTTCTTTTGATAAATATTTCCAAAACATCGTGTTTATTCATAAAACATAAAAAAAATATTCTCGGATGAAAATGCACTTGCAGAGACACAATTATGAAGAAAAATGCCATAGATTTGCAATTTTCTCCCGTTATATAGTTTTGGATGCAAATTTCCATCAGAAAATCGGATAGAGCTTTACTTGTTTCATATGTGTACCAAAAATCAGCTAATTCCATGTGGTGGAACGTTCTCATATCGCCGCCTGAATGTGGTTGTAAATTGAAAGAAAAGGGGAAATAAGTAACAACCTTGTCTGAAACCCTATTATATAGCTTATTATATACAAACTTTTATATTGAATATCAGAGCGGATATTTTCATGACAGTTTTATGATGTGTAAAAAAAAAAAAAAAAAAATAAAGTACTGTTTCCCTGTCTCGATCTTGATTACTTGAGAACCATTACGTGTGGAACGTATCAGATATCTCTGG